GTGTCAGGATTACATTTAATGGAACGATAAAAGCTTAGAAAAGCAAAAGGCATCAGACAGATGACCTCTGGATGCACTGGACAGTGCCTCTGGTAAGACGGCACTGCTGAATTTGGTAAGTGGCATTCCAAGAAGAGGAGGTCTCGGCCTCGTGAGCAATACACCAAAATTGCTTTTTACAGCATGGTTTGAGTGAGGGACAGCACACAGCTGCTGCAGGAGCATGGAGCATCACCTGGGACCCGCAGTGTCCCTTCGCTGTCCTAATACAGTGAGGGAGGAGCGTGCTACTTTGCTCTTTATCACAGAAGAGCTTTCCCCTCCTACTTGCCTGACGCCGTGCCAGCATCTTGGGCAAGGGGTTGGCACGTAAACTGCACCTCGCTTCTGATCATCTGTGGCCCAAACCATTAGACTACCGCCTTGGCTTCTGTAATCTTGGCAGGACAGCAAGCCAAAACCAGGGATCACCTCAAGTCCTTTTGCTCCCTAATATAGTTAATATTTGAGCTCTGGATGAAAAATACTTCCTAGATCCCTGTCTCAGTCACTGTACATGGGAAGACTGCTATTTAGACCACAGTAATGTCTTCCAAAGTTCCTTGGAGACTTGGAACTACAAAGTCAACTCTAACCTTTGAAATATTTTACCCACAGCTACATGAAATCCTCAGAAAACAAGCATACAGGCCCTTGCAAAGTCAACAGAGATGTTGCATTTCCACCGTTGCGTAAGTTGCACAACTGCAACCCTCTTTTGCTTGGTCCACATATTCATGTGCAATGCACAGTGGGCAAAGCTCTAGGAGCACACACAAGGCTGTTAAAGAAACGGTACCCTTCAAGGCACAGCACTGGACCTTCCCAGCAGACAGAGGGTATCTGTACTTGGAAAATGCTGCATACCTCCTCCCACAGCAACTGGGGCAGGCGGGGGATGTTATCAACCGGTCGTAACACCGGTCCCTGCCATGCCAGCCAAGACAACATTACATTTGAGCATGAATCCCTGCCTGGGCACATCTTTATATAGGAGCACTGAAATGCCCCGCTGGGAAGAAACAGGTGGCCTAGCTCCACTCCCACCAAAGTCTGCAAGCCCTACTTTCTCATGGGCCCTTACGCATCCTGCCTTTCCGCAACAGCAATGTAGTTCTCTGTTTTCAGCTGATTTATCCTTGACAACGGAGAACAACAGCAAGGAGCTATTCCTATCGTCGTCCTACTGAGGGGGAACAAAGGAAGCGAGAGATTCAGAAATACACAGAAGGTCAAGGAGGAAGCGTGTGACAGAGGAAGGAGTTGCATTTGCCTTTCTAGGTCCAGGACAAAATTTCTCACCATAGGCTAGCTCTCCTATTGACTTCACTGGGTGGGAATGAAGCCAGCGCCGAGTGCTCTGGAAATCCCATCACAAATGCTTCCTTCATTTAGATGTTTTAATAGCGTTCACATCTCTCTCTGATGAAGAGTACTTGCTGCAGCCAAAAAAAACCCCACCAGCACTCTTTGAAGGAGAAATGAAATGCTTCATTAATTCAAAAATTGTTGAGATTGCAAATCAGGAACAGAACATACAGGTCTAGAGGCAAGATTACTAATAATTCATGAGCAAAATGCTATGTTTATGCAACACTGAAGATGAGATTTTAATTGCTTATTACTCTAATTGATTTCATTCAGTTGTTATGGCAACTTTCTCCTTTTAGTATATGCACTACACTACACGCTTAGCAGCTTAAGCCATGAAGTAAGGCTATGTGACACACCACAGTTGCAACACGTATTCTAAGCTAAATACTGATTATCTGCTCATATGATACATAGTAGACAGAGACCATGGTTAGAGCTGTCTATAACACCTTCTAATGTTTTATTATTATATGCAGTTTCTCTCGGCTGTCCCAACTGATGACTTCCAGGCTTATCTCCGCCGCTAACTTTTCTCGGTTTACACCACTTGGCACTGCTCGAGCAAAAACAGTGGCCATTTTGTGAAGAAGCTAGTTAGAAATGGCAGTTTTGTCAGCACATATGTTAGACATTATCTCATCTATATTCTGACTCTTTTCCAGAAAAGCTTTTATACAACAGGAATTCAGAGCGAGAACTCAAAACCTGACTGTCGAGACCTGAAGTCAAAACCATGCCTTTTGCTGTTGAGAAGGAGGTATGCAGTTCAGTTAAACAAGAACACCCAGCACAGGCTTCGCGCAGCTATACTTACGCATCCACTCCTATTTATCTCTCCTGCCCAGTCTCCCCCCAGCGATGGTGGAACCGCTGCTCATGTGTAAACATATCCACTAACTTGCACACAGCAAAACGGATCTTGCTCTCCGAGCACGTATGCTAGCGAAGCACATTTTGCTGGGCCCTGGAGTAAATCCTTAAAATCCCTTGTGAGTCATCCGTCTCGCATGCATCAAGTTTTTAGGGAGCTGAAGACAGCAGCTGCGAGTTAAGACGTTGTTCGTAAATGGCGACACAGACATTTTCCCTTGTTAAAGGCCCTGTGCGATGTACATTGAACTGGAAACTGCAGAAGCTGGTTTCTGGTCTTGCACTAGTATCTACTGATTCACATCTTGCTGAGCTTCAAAACCCCGATAGCTAACTGGTATCACAAGAATAAGGCACTCACCTATTAGTCCAGGCCCTTCACAAGCAAGCAAAAAAGAGGCATGAGATTGTCAGGCAGCCCTGTCTTTTAGATCAACCGTTTCCTTTACTGTATGCTTCAGCCTTTCACACTACAGTCAAGCACAGAGCCTGCTCTACACACTGACCAACAGAAACATATTACTTACTCCGTCGCAAAAAATGGGGAGCTGTTCAAGACCAGGGCCTGAACACACCGACTGATTTACGCTGAAAGACCTTTTTGCTCCGTGTCCCTCGTTATGTAATCAAGCATTGGAGAAGTCATGTTTCCTGTTTAAAAGGCCATTATCATCATTTAATTATGGAATGACAATTCACTAGAACAGTTCCACAGCTGATTCAGCCACAGGAGAGCAGGTGAGCAGTACGGTAACACCTCGAGATACTCTCAGAAACCAGGGCTTGTCTACGCCGATGTGAACCTTCAGCTCTACACTTCAAATAGGTTAGGCAACACGCTATCTCACAAAGGCACGGGGAGCAACATCCCAGAGCTCATGCCGAAACCGTACAGCTAGGAGCTGTCCCAGGGGACGTCTTCCCCACATAAACATTCCCTTTCAGCCCCCTCAGCCCCCACCCAAACCAGTCTTACTGACAAGGCAGTTATGAAAATGAACGTATATTTAAACTCTTGAGACTGCAAGCGCTCAAAGTTTCACCTCGTGGTACAAGAAAGCCCAAAACAGCATTTAAAAACCCTGTACAGCTCTGCTATTAAAAACAAGCCAACCACCAAAAGCCCCATGCTTTGAACAAAGCCAGGCAAACCTCCTTTGCGGGATACGCAGCTATCTGACCCAGCAAAATCAAAGTTGAGCCTAAATTATCAAACCACAGAAGTAAACCTGACAACGTTCTTGCAAGCAAGTTTCTTTTCATGCTGAGACAAACTTGAAAGGGGCTGAATGGTACACCTCAAGCTTTATTAAACAGACTAATCTCACAAGCTGTTAGTAAACCCAGGGACATTGCCCGTGGCTTCCTACCTTCATAACAGCCCACCTACGCAGCGCACGCATTATCTGCCGACTCCCGAGCGAGGTGGTTGCTGTACTGAAGCAACCCGAGTGGGCACCTTTGAAGTAGAAGCTGAACATCTTCGCTGCAGTAGCTTTCATGTTCAAAGCAGTCACAACAGACAGCAAGGAAGCCATTGCTCTTAAAACATTGAAGCACGTGTTTCGAAGATAAACAGTTCCATTATATAATTGCCTTTCAGTGGTACATGTGAGTTATTGACAGAAGGGAATTTCATACAGAACTTAGGAATATCGAGTGTCCATCCCTCATCTGTTATACGTGGGAAGTGAGAAGCCTTGTAGTGTGTTCCTGTATTTAAAAAAAAAAGTACGAAGGCCATAAAGAAAAAACTGAGAATCATTTTAACAGTAGCACCGGCCCTATTCTTCCCACACATGCTCCCTGCCAATGAGTGACAGCACTCATTGTCAGCCTCACAGCACCCTATTCATTCTCAGCCCCCACCTACACACCCTGCCCCGGTGTTGGAACATCCAAGGCAGGATTTCCCTTTGCAGCAGCAGCGACCAGAGCTGGAAGACAGGCTGGCTTGGCAGAGGGAGCACCCTTGTGCTTTCTCTCGCTCCATCCCTTGCACAAGAAAGAAAAAAGGACAGAAAGAGGGAAGATCTGTATCAAGCTACAAAGTGCAATAGGTCTATCGCAGTGCTTACAGCCATCTTAGCAGGTAGCTGAGTGCAGGTCCTGACTCCCTCTTTCAGCCTTTCTAGGGCTGGGAACATCTTTCCAGCAAGAACAATTTACAGCCCCTTATTCCTTAATTTTTGCAATATAGGCACCATTTGGAAATCCTTTGGCAAGATGGGCAGGATGAGACAAAAAGGAAACGAGCTCCAGTTTGCCTTTGATGAGTTACTGCAGGTATTGGATTGCCAAGATGCAGACACATCCCGAGACCAGGTTTTACCCAGAAGACTGGGAACAGCATCGACCACAAATCCAGCAAAACCCAGAACACTTCACCTGCGATGACCCCTAACTCCACCACTGGTGGGAGCTCCCATTTGCCAGATGTGCAAATACAGCATGCACAACACTCATCCCAGCACGACAGAGCCCAGCTGCAGCTGGGTGAGAAGCAGACAATACCTCACACTAGCTTCTAAAACTGAGAGGAGCGAAGCTGAGGAGAGATTCACATCCAGCAGCAAGCCACACACAAGCCTCTCCTTTTTCTTTGCAAACTGCTTACCAGAACTTCTGGGGAACCCGGAACACAGTACCATACAAGCCATACAGCAAAAAAAAAAACAAGCCAAAAGCTTCAAGTAACCAACCGTAACTCACAGCAGTTAACAAACACAGCACTTGGTTTATTTTTGTTTTCAACTGAAACAAGACTCAGTAGGTTGGTTACCTGTAACCAAAGTACTCTATTTCAGAAGTGAGCTTCCAGGTGCAGAGACTTGCAGTAAGAAGTCTTCAGATGTACAGTATTTATATCATACAGAGTACACAATAAATTACTATCTACATGCAACATACCTACAAAAAGTTACATATAACGTAAAAAAATACAGTATTTTCTGCTCATTTTTTGTTTTAAATTTTTTTCTGTACATTTTTTTCATTTACATTTTTATATACATTTTTGTAAACTTTTTGTAATTTTATAAAACTGAAATCACATAACAGTTATGAACTTACGGCACCGCTCTTACCGTTCTAAAACAAAGCTTGCATCTACGAAACAGCCTTTAGCTTGTTTGCTCCTTCATTTCTACTTTGGCACCAACACACTTCACACCATTACTCCGAGCTAATTAGTCCACTTGCTACCTAACCGTGTTCTCAATATGGAGAAACACAATCACACTTCAGCTTGTGCTTCAGTATAAGAAGTTCAGAAAAAACCATTACATTAACTACTTCATCAACATCACATTTACCTGATATTACTGCATAATATCGACTTTTCCTGCACTAACTGCTTTACATAAGCATGCAAACAAGTCTGATTATGACTCAATCAATAACATGAGTATACTGAAAAACAACTACAAGGGTTAAATATTAAAAGGAATGTAGACTTACCAAGATTTACCATGTTAATAAGTCTAAGCTAATAGTATGGATTGACATGTTAACAGTTAAGATTTTAAACACACTGAAGTATACAATGTGAGTTTCAGTGTAAAAACATCTGTATTAAAGAAAACTTGAAATTACTCCCTGCCACACAGTTTATACTATCCTTTAGTGAAAACTAGTATTGACTAGAAGAAACCTTCTTGCCATGCATACTGCCGTCATGAAAAAGGGATTCCTGAAGTTTATAAAAACTAAGCTTTAGAAAAAACAACCTACGTGGAGTACACAACTCCAGATCCTGCTGACAAGGAGCATAGCATGTAAAGTGTTAGAGCAGTTTCAGCATTTGGCAGTAAATCATTTCAGCCTGGTACTGTGGATACGTATCCCTCCACATAACCTACTCAGCCAATTTGATCTAACCCCAAAATACTAAAGGGTGGAGGTGCCCTGAAGAGGACTCTAGTCCAACCTCCTGCTCAAAGCAGGGTCAACTCTGAGTTCAAACCAAGCTCGGGGCTTTGTCACGCTGAACCCTGAGAACCTCCCAGGACAGAGATTGCACAGCCCCTCCTGGTCCACTCCCATGCTGGGCTGTCCCCATGGAACAAACTTCTTCCATTAACTGAGAATTTCACATTTCAATTTAATGAAAGCCTCTCATTCTTGCTCCATTCTTCTCAGTCAAGACCCTGAAATTATCTCCTCCTCAGCAACCTCCTCTTAGATACCAAAAGGCTGCTGTTCAATCCCATTTTCCCCCCAAAGGCCACTTAGCCAGGCTGAAGAAGCTCATTTCACTTAGCTTCTCCTCACAGGTCCTGTGCCCCAAATCATTTAGCCATCTTGGCAGCTTCCTGTCAGACTTGCACGAGTTGATCGACCTCTTGAGCCCAAAACCGGACACTGTTCCAAATGAGAATGAATGCCAAGTAAAGGGAGGAAAAAGTCTACTTCCCTCAATCTGTTGGCTACGCTCCTGTTAACACAGCCCAGTATGCTGTCAGCCTTCATTGCTGCCAGGGCACACTGCTAACACATTTAGCTGCTAACCTTTTTGGACCACCAAGTACAGGACTACGTTTATACTCACTGATAACAGAACTATACATGAACTTTTTTGCTGAACTGGGGACCTGAATGGGATTTTTTTTTTTTAATTCCTTAAGATTACAACAACAAAAAAACCAAGGCAGGCATTCAAAGCATTGATATACCACAGCAATTCTTGCCTTAATACCGTTTACAGATCACCACCTCATTTATTATTGCCAAAACACTCTACGGTGCATTAAAAATCTCAACCTAACACAATCAAGACTTAATGCTAAGACCGACAGCTAAGAGTTTGCCACTTCGTTTTAGGTTTGAGTTCAAAGAAGAAGGTGCCTTCCAGATCACTCGGAGGAGAACTGCTAAGGCTTTCTTCTCCGCTGCTCATATCTTCACAGGAGTCTTCACTAGAAGGAACAGTAGGAAAGGTAATTTAAACAAAGCACAATCCCTCAAAAGTGACAAAGTACTCCTCAGTCCTGTGTTCCCTCAAGCTGTTCTGTTCCTAGTATAACATCCCAGATGTAAATGCTTCTCAGCACTAAGGCTTAAATCATAACAAAGTACAATTTCCTTTTTCCTAATGCCAAAAACCTCCTACCAGCCAAGAAGCCGGTGTTCAAGATACCAAATATAAATTACTTTAGAAGATGTAAATGCTTTGTAAGCCTCTCTGCCTTAAAAAAAGGAACGCCTCCCCCCACCCCGCAAAGCGCTTGTACCTTTTGAACACCACAATGACAGCTCCCCTTTTACTTTTTCTTCTGTTTAAGATATATTTTAAGTCCACCAGTATTTTCCAAGCTAGCAATTTTTTCCAAGTAGTACTGAGTAAGCCTAGTTATACAGAGTTGCCATTAACATTTCCAGAAAATGAGAATTCCCAACAGATTAACGACCTGGTCTAAGTTTTACCAACCTCTTGCTTTCATTGAAACATCCACCCTCTGGTATTGTTGGCAACTCAGGAACACTGTAGTAACTGTTTTGAAGATTCTGGGCTGTACGTCTCGAAACAATCCAAACGAGCTTTTTATGATCAGGCTTACAACATTCAGGAGAAGAATAATCTGCTAGGCATTTTGAGACCAATTCCCTCCAGTAAAGTAGGTCACTATCACTTATCTGAAAAGCAAAAAAAGAACCTATTTAGTCTATTACACACAGGCTCTGAAGATAACCCCTCCCTCCATTTTACCTTCTTGGAAAAGAAAGATAACCCCTCCCTCCCTCCATTTTACCTTCTTGGAAAAGACTTGAAAAGCTATCAGTCAAGATGTAAGCAAGTCATAACTGTGATACCTTTGTCAAAGTTGGGCTGCTTTTGAAGGTGAACTCCTATACACCTCCTAGAAATGTCCGCGTTGAAGTTTGAGTTAAGTTGACAGACAGTTTGCCTGTCAGTTGCTGTTAACATTTTCATTATCACTTCCAAAGGAAAAATGAAAACAGGATTATTCCATTTTAAAAGAGATTTAAATTTAATAATAATAATTTAAAGTCCCATTTTAAAATGGAATAATCTCATACTTTAAGGAACTACTTCCAACCTTCAAGAAACTGGGTTAGTTCAATTTGACTATAAGAGTGAAAAGCTTGTTTTAGGCCATCAACTGATACAGTATGCAGCTAGAAGCTATAAATCCTATGTTAGTTATTCAGGCAGAAAGAACAACCAGCCCAGCAGTCATCGTAGTCCTACGAACTAATTGGAAGTTTCTCTAGAACATACAGCTAGAACTGTACAAGTTAAATCATCTGCTTGTTAAAGCATGTATTATGTAGGCATTAGGTCAGCATTTCTTCTGATTTTATACATTTAAGATAGTTTTTTAAACCATAATCCTTTTGCTTGCCAGGCAGCTGCCGAGATGTGCCAGTATGAAATGACTACCTGAGCTCATTCTCTAAGCAGCCGTTTCCTGCATTTGGCATTCTACCAATGAAACCATGTTAGTTACAAGAATTGCAGACACATGCTTACAGACTCATTTCATTGCTTACTTCAGCTGATGCCAAACAATACCTGTTAAATATTGTACACTGGCAGCAGGGGTCCCTTAAATGTAACATTGTACCTCATTAATTGCACCAGTCCCAACAACTGCAAAAACAATCCACAGAAAATATCTACCTTAGAATGCTTTTGAACACGCAGAAGGATCTCAAACAGCTCAACAGACTTCAAAGTCTGAACTTCTAGAGTGAGAAGGCACAAGGCCAAGACAGATGGCTAGAAGGACAAAAAACACCGCTCAACATGACATGAATCAAAACCTACTCAGAAGTCAAAGTATCTACTTTTCTAAGTAGTCAAAGTACTTCTTCTTACTTTTGCTTTAGAAAAGACTAGACGACAGTTGCAAGCTTTTAGCTGTGCTTCCAATTTGTCGAGATTCAACACTTCTTTCCTGTAAGACACCCAAGAGAAAAAGCATTTGTATCAACAAGCATTCACTTGTCAGGACGTAAAAACTAAGGAGCTGCCTCCGCTACAGCCAATGCCACAGTCATTTAAGAGGCAACTAAAGAGAGAAAGGGCTTAGCAAACATATAGACCACCACCAACATGCAACTCAACTCACCTTTCTGAGGTATGACAGAGTACAATAGTATGGTACAAGTGCAAGAAGGTTAAGGCAGTAGTAGCTTTAAATTCAAAGTGCAACTTTTCTGAAATTATCTTTTCCATCCGTTTCAGGTCGGACACAGTGCATTTACATTGGCTGATCCGGATGATCTCATGGGCAGATGGAATATTGCATTCTTCTTCAACTACTCTGGCAGCCAGCTGGAAACAACAAACTCCAATGCAAGATAAATGCTTCGGTTTCACCTACAAGTAAGAGGAAGCACTATGAATACTTCCCCCCCCCCATAAACACCGTGCTTATCAACAGCAACACCAACAGCTCACCCAGCCTAGGTGAGCTGTCTTGAATATATTTACAGTTCAACAGAAAGATTTGCTTATCTCAACCAGACCTGACATGAGTCAGCTAATACACCTCACCTAGTCATAACTAGTTTCATGACTTAAGTTTCAGCAAAACACAGCTGGCAGAGCCAATAAAGCAATATCAATCTGCCATAGCTAAGTCAGAGGAAGTAAAGTTCAACAGCTGAGCACCCTCTATTGAAATTGTTTCACATCACTACACAGCAAGTAAATTGCAGTAAGAACTGCAATACCCTGCTTCTCCAAGCAGCAGTGCTCACTTACCCTCACTTAAAGCCTACACAAATCCCGCCTGAGCCTGTTCTAGGCAGTCCTATCCCTCCACAACTTGTTCCCACCTCTGCTATTCTCTCCCATGTACCAGCATAACCTTTTGTGCAACCTCAAGGACAGTCAGACCAAAGCACTGACGCAACTTTAGTTTTTCTGCCAACTTAGTAACGGGGAACTGGTTTAGGTTCAAATCATCTGCCATAAAGCAGCACAAACACGAAAAGAAAAACATCCCCGAAATGATCATTTGGTATTAGTTCCAGCACTAAGCTAAGCTATCCCTAGAAACAGTCTGTAACGCAAATTGGTTTGTTCCTTCTTAATCCCTCCTTTCTTAGTCTTCTACATCTACCTGGTGAAGGCTACAGACTTACTAGAGGAAATAAACCACACTGCTACTTGACTTTAGAGGTAAGAAGAACTGTACTCAACTTCAGGTTTACAAAGGAGGACTTCAGAAATGTTGCTAGCATAGAATGAGTAAATAGCCACAGTTATCTCCTAGATCACAACCTTCCCCTTTTTGTCAGGCAAGAAAGTTCACAGGAAGCTCGCCTATTCCCCACCAACACTATAGCAGGTCCTCTCCCCCCAATATACCTTCATAAGAGCCAAGAATCTGTCCAGAATATTAACAGCCAAAACAAATGTTTCAGTTGCAAAACCGAAAAAGTTGGTCAGACTCCAAAGATCTTCCACCTTGGCATTCCTTTGTCTCGGACACAGAGTGTTCTCATTCTACAGGAAGAGAAGCAAAGTCAGAATTATTCAGCGGCAGCAGTGATGACTGTGACCACTCTCTCCCTACGTCATCTTTTACTTAAATCAAAGGGAAGCAATTATTTTCTTCCATAAATATTTTATTTCTCTTAACTTAAAAAAAAAATTTTAGATATTTGAGACTCAAAACACACCCAAGGTAGATGGATTACAGCCAGGTCCTGAGTCTCACTGGTGCAATACCGAGCACAACCACATTTCCAAGTACGCACTTGTTATTTTAAGACAATAGTTACCAAGTGCATACATACACAGGGACTCCTGACCTTACGGAAACAGAGATGACCAAACTCAGCTTATTCTCCTCTCTGCCTGCATGTCAATATTTAAGTGACAAAAGCTCTGCTTTCAAAACAAAAAAGCAGGCTGATTTCAGAGACTTTCTTTGTTAAACGTTAAGGCCCCTACCAAAAAACTCACCAGCATCCGAAGGAATGTAAGCCTGCCCCAAACTCAATAAGGAACTCTGGTCATTAACGTGGATATGTTTATGCTTAGCTTATTTTTTGCTGTTAAGCACTAAGTGTTTCTAGGTTCATTTCCCTAGACCTTGTTAAGGAAAAGCTGGTCATTTCCCCCCATTTGTTAATTGCCTACTTGACATCCCAGCTTTCCTGCAGTGGTACAGCACAGTGGTACAAAGCTCCCGAGATGAAAACAATACACTTCTTTTGGTTCTGTGTTCACTCGAAGTTTAGAAGATAAATATTAAACGCCTGAGTATTTTACTTGCCCTGTAGGTCATAATTCTTTGACAATGTAGCATACGTTAATGACTACAGATTAAGACAGAGTTAAAACAAAAGGCAAGCGGCGTTTCACAGAAGACAGAATTGACTTTCCCAAGCTAACGCACGTCTCCCTTCTAGCTCGGGGTTTTTTTTAAACACGTATTTCCTGCCCAGAGGAGGCTGCCTCCTCCCTCCGCGCCTACCCCAGCCCGGCTCCCCGGTCCCCCCTCACCTCGGCGGCGCACTCGATGAGGCTGAGCCCCTTCTCGCGGGGCTGGAACCGCCCCTCCTGCTCCAGGTGGAGATACAGCTGCTTGAAAAGCCACAGCGCCTCGCTGCTCATCTTCTCCCCCGCCTTGGGATCCTTTACCTTCACGGCAGACGCACGTCGTCAACAGCTGGCAGCTCGCCCCCCCCTCCCTTCCCCCCG